ATATATATATATATATATATTCATTATATATATTTGGTTTGGTTCCGCGAAGATCAAAGTCAATTAATGTTTAAATCGAAAACTTTATTTTTCATCTCTGATTCGTAACAGAACATGAATAAATGGAGCAGTGTGTTTTTGCCCCACCGCCAGCATATTTCTAACAACTATGCCGTGATGAACACTCAAGAGCCTCTCTAAACGACCGTCATTCGTTCTCGTTTGACATGATGGCGGTCTCAGTCGCACTGCCGTGGTTAAGTCGCAGTTTGCGCGGAGGCAAGAGGACAACAAAAAATGGTCGCCCGGCAACCTTTGTATGTGGCCGCACCCCCCTACCGTAGAGTTAATGTAAGAAGTGAAGTCCTTTTTTGGCAACCGAAGCGCCCCACTTTATCTCAGGGGTGTCCTGCTCATGGTCGCCCTTCCGGCGCGCTTTACTTCTAGCCCTTATCTCCACCCCGGTTGGTCTGTTTGCTCTTTCAACCTAAAGCCTCTAGTTGTTAGAAATAAAAAGGCGTCTTCCCATAAATAAATGAGATGGAAAGATATAGTGACTCATGTGTTTTTTACTCTCACGTTTAGAAGACAGACGGCCATTTATCACTTGAATATGTGTCACATCACCTTTCTCAGCACTTAATGACGTTAATAGTCAGACGGGGCAGGAAGAAGGGAATGTGGTCCCAGTGAATGAACTCCTTTGCTCCGACGTGACGCTTCAACTGTGTGAACTCAACCTTGGACGATGGAAGTTTGTCCATTTTAGAGACATCTGGAGGGTAAATGCAGCATCTTATTTCTTATTTAATTTTGGGCGAACAACCGGATTAAAGGTTTGACTACGTGGCTCCTCCGTTGGCTCCATGTGGATAAAGTATGAAGTAAACTCAAAGCGAACCATTTCATATTTGCTAGGCGATTTAGGAGGGCGCGCTTTACCGACATGCAGATTTTCGCTAAATTTTTAGTACGAGTCCAGAAATTTGCCGCAGTTTTACGCTAATTTCGAATTCACAGTGATTTGCTATGAAGGCTTCCGCCCCTGCTTTGTCTGAAAAAGTCTTAACTAAATGCAGTGGATCGCACACACAAGCATAAGCTGCCTGTGTCGCAAGTGGCTGCCCCCATCTACAAAACAGGTCACAAGTTTACATTCGCAGCTATGCAAGTAAGCGCTCACGTCACAAACAAGACAAACCGGGAGTTGATCGAAATCTGGGCCTCCAATGAGAACCTAGTCAATCGGTTTGTCGACCTGGCATCAGCATACAGAGCTCTGTGCAGTCGCCTTCGGAAGGGCCTCACTGGTGTTTGATTGGTCCTTTACCCTACGACTGCTGCTTATCTCGTTGTCGTTTTTTATCGCTAACGATAGGCTCCAGTAGGAGTTCGAAAAGTCAGATGAATAATGCCATGATTCCAGCGAGCTAACAGGCTTTTTCCTCATTTGCACCGATAGCGGTGTCTTGCAACTTCTGCCCTTTTTGGGCTCAATATGCCTTCCTCACTTAGAGGACGAAGCCTTGTTTCTTGTTAGTTATTCCTACTTTCCCACGGATTTGCCGTATACCACCCAGTAACAGGTAATGCAAGTTCAATGCATAAGGCCTGTTCTTGATCTGGTAGTGTCATATAAATGTTTCTGCCTCACTCTTAGTTAGGCTAGGTTTGCTGGTCGTCCCGCCTCCTCATTTCTTTACCGATAACACCTTTCCTCAGGATTACCGTCTACGGTAGCGTTCTGTTAAAATTATGAGTGCGTTGATGTGTGTGCGCTCATTTTAACACAACTCCCTTGACCTCTCTTTGTGCCTGCTCTTAGTATCTGGCTGCAAAACCGGTCCCCTGAAAAGTCGTAGTTTTGGCTGAGGCTTGAGTTCGAGCTAGCAATTGATGCTAATTTTTGGTTTCTTGGTTTCTGTCATACCACACAAATTTCGCGCATCCCCTGCAGCCGATTATATCGAAGCATTTGCTGTTGTCTGATTTCTTTTTTATCTAGCTACGGTCACTTTGTAAAGCCCTCCCCCCCGACAAACTAAACTGTTGTGCCGATTTTAGGCAGATCCCGAATCTCTACGGGAACAGAGTATGACCGCCGCCGCTGCTGAAATTTCGGACTCCACCCCGACCTCCGCGGGATCGGAGTCGGACCTTAATTCTGCTAACGTATCAGCGGTTCAGTCCTCGTCGGCTGCTCTTACTACTGCCGAGGGTGATCTGAAGGAATCGCAACCTGTCGCTCCTAAGACTCCTACTGATGCAAAGAAGGAGGAAGAGGAGAAGAAGGAGGAGGAGGAGGAGAAGGAGGAGGAGGAAGAGGAGGGAGAGAAGAAGAAGAAGAAGAAGAGGGAGGTAAAGGAGGAAGAGAAGAAGGAAAAGAAGGAAGAAGAGGAGGAGAAGAAGGAGAAGGAGAAGGAGGAGCAGTTATCTGAAAAGCCGGAGTCCAGCAAAGAAGTAGCATTACTGACGGCTGAGTCGCATGAGATCCCTACTCAGGAAACCCTATTGGATGATACTTGCAAGACAAGTGTGGACCCCGGAAAGGATTATGCCCGCGCGGGTGCTAAGACCGACGACTCTCGCGGTGCTGAAGCTGAGGGTCGTAAAGCACAATCGAAAACGCATAAGCACAGGCGTCGTACTCCCACTGATGGCGCGGCGTCTGCTAAAGGGGCATCTCCAACCAGGGCTGAAGTGCAATCAAAATGTGAACCCCAGACTACTACCCCTTCTGAACCCACCATGTTGGGCTCCGAGGTGGTCGGTGATGACGGGGTGGCTGGGTCCCAGCCACAGGTACAATCGCACAAAGGCAAAAAGCGAACTCAAGCAAAATCTGCCCATGATTCCGCGGTGCGCAAATTAGAAACAGAGTTTCAACAGACGCATATTAAGGATGCTACTTTGGAAGGCGTCAATAAGCGTCAGGACGATGACCACACAAAACGAAGCGAGAGTCCAAACTCCGAAAGCAAAAGTGAAAGGAGTGAATCTCCCGCTATATTATCTTCCTAACTCATGTGCTTCTTAGCTGGACTTTTGATTCTCGATTTCTTTGCAGCTTTCTTACATTCCATTTTTTTCTCATGCATCAACGTATTTTCACTCTGCAGAAGACATATTGCAGACTATTATGCTCATCACCTTGTCTTCTTGTCACGCGGTCCTCCACTCAAAAACTGTCTTCCATGACATTTCATTTTTGAATATTCCATGTTTTGTATTCTCTAAGCACAGTTTTTAGAGATGCTCAACAGTACGGGTACGAGTGGTGGCGCGCAAACATAAAACACCTTGGCAGTTGTGGTAGTTTGATTTCCGCTTGGTAAGAGTCTCCGATCTTTGATTGGTCCCCAGACCAGAAGTGCACTGTTTATTAGCTTTGAGAGGACGATTGCACCACCGTATCTACCAGGTGAGTTGTGTGGGCCGTAGTGGTACCGAGTGAAATGTGCGTTGACCAACTCGATCTTTATTGTTTTAGCGTCTGAGTCAGGAATTGGGACTTTTGAAAGGCAGAAAACATCCACGATGTACTAGCGAAGACTGCGTGCCACCAGAGTTTGGGTAACAGAGTCCAGGAATGTTCGCGCATTTCAGCATCCATTGCCAAGAATCCGTTCTCACTGGGGCACTGCAGCTCACCTACTGTTCGCGCGGCACACGAAACGAGGCTTGTGGAGCGCGTCGGTTCCCGCGGACGCCATATCGTGATACAGGCATCGCACCGATATTTTCACGGTTTGTTGCCAATCTTCAGTACAGGCGGTACCCAATAGCCACTCGGATTGTTTGCTGGAGGTTATTTCATTTAGCGCATTGGTTCAAGAACCTAGCCTCGTGGCGGTGGTGACAGGGAAGGCTATTTACTATTGCAGACAAAAGTCAAACTTACCTTTCAGCGGGGGATGTTTTAGCAGCGCGCAGTATGTGATGTGATGTTGGCGTGACCACGTGTGTTTTGGGTGTTGGTGAGGAGTGACATAATGATGTGATGCGGCCGGCGGCATTTCATCGCAAGTTTTCATGGAGGCGCATGTGGCCTAATAGACCCATGCCATGAGTAAATGTGCCTGGGTCGTGTGGACAATGGAAACGAGTGCGGCAACTGTCTATCGGTGCCCTATGCACTGGCTTATCAGTCTCTGCGGTGGATTAGCAAGTGACCGACCAGGCCGATGAGTGATACGCATGTGCGGTGACAGTGAGCGCAGGTGGGGTTATGGATGCAACGGAGCCGGTGTTATTGTTGGTGGTGATGGTCACGCCATTCGAAAAGGTGAGGCTTGAATTGGCGATGGGTGTGCTGGGTGTACCGATATCCCGGTGAATGACCATGCAATGCGCTATGGCAGTGGTCTCTACTGTGTGTGCTTTAGTGATTCGTTCACTAGTTTCCATGAGATGAATGCGCAAGTGACCGCCCAGGCCAATGCTTAAGGCGAATGTGCGATCCCATAGGGGCGGGTTAGACTAGAATGCCAAGTGCTGGTGGAGGGGTCGGTTATAGTTATCGAGAAGGAGGAGGAAATTAGGGGTGTGTTGTCTATAGTGGTCGGCGTTGTGGA